GAATCCATATGGTCTCGACGTATGCGGATCTGACAGCTTATTCAGTTATGAATTTTGTGCGATAATCTTAAGTGTCATTTAAGACCCGCTAGTGATTTACAAAGGAGGCCACATATGGAGCAAGTGTGAGGATTGTGAGATGAGATCACTGTTAGATTGGCTGACCTTTTAGATCTTTCTCTCGGTTCTTGAAGATTATTCAGACAAGCAGATTGAAAATTGCTGAGTCCACTAAAACACGTTGATCTCCATTCTACCCGCTCTAAGGCTAAGTACTCAAGGGTGTTATGTGGTATATTGACTGATGACAGTTGCTTTTCAGCCTGTCTTTGTATCTTAGCCATGGGCGTCCTATATTCCTGTAGCCGTGATCTAACCGGCTATATAATAGGATCTTGGGTATCCTGTCATCAGACATTCTCAAGACATGACCAGTCCACCGTAAATGAGACTGTATGATAAATGACTAAATTCCTCCAATATTACACCTGTTAAACAGGTCTACGTTAGATGTCATGCCTTGAAGCTTAACTCCACAGATTGCACGCAGACAGCCTATATATATTCAGAATGTCCTTCTATTAACCATATATATATATATATATATATATATATATATATATATATATATATGTGTGTGTGTGTGTGTGTGTGTGTGTGTGTGTGTGTGTGTGTGTCTGTGTGTAAGCATTCAATCAACACTCAGAGACGACAGGCTGTTTTTGCTAGTCACAACCGTCAGGCCACGTGTGCTGGGTTATTTCTCGACTAGTTATATATACAGCTCAGTGGTTCATTGTACGAATTCCATTATTACGGTTATTTTGGCGCGAGTGGATTGTACATTTGGGTTAATTTATTTTATTTTATTTTTATTTCTGTTTTTTATTTTATACTTATATATATATATATATATATTTATTCTTTTCAATTTTAGATGTCTTACTATCGTTGAAAATTTTTTTTAGATTAGTTTAGATTGTTTATTTAATAGTTTATTTTGATCTGGGAATGTAATGAAAGTTATTTTTTCTTCCAATATTTGGATTGATTGCTCTAATCTATTCTAACTGTTATTTTGACGGGAACAGTTTTTCATTGTTTATTTGGATTTTGGATTTTTATTTGTTTTTGCTTATTTATTTTAAAATTTATTCTGACGGTTATTTTAGCGTGAGCCGTTTGTTAATTTGTTTATTTATTTGGATTAATTTATTTTACAGCACAGTGCACCACTGACCAATATATATAAATAGTCGAGAAAAAAAAAACAACACACATGGCCTGACTTCAATGTTCACTTTTATATTTACATACGCTCTATCTCTCGTGTGAAGTTCTTATAGAATGCAAGAAGTTAAATGTTTGTAGTATTATACATTTTTTGGGATATACTGATAAATATTCCTTTCTTGCATAAAAATATCTTTGTCTGCTTTGGCTTCTGCTGTGATGAGACTGATTTCGTCTAACCTCCACTTCCTTTGGAAATTTTGGAATTCTTATGAAGCTTAGAAATCTTCTTGGTATTTTACTTTGTTTCTTCCTCAACGACGGATATGATTATCGAATTTTATTGATACAAAACAAGAACAGACCCACGATTTCGCCTGCCTTTTCCTTCAAAATTCAAACTGCAACTCCATTCTACAAATTCAATAATGATAAAATCGGGCCAACAAATTTATCCCGTCCTGTTAATTTTTTTTTTCTTAGAAATTTCACAAATATAATAAGGTTGGACCCAAACTTTCGTCCATCTTTTCACTTCAACATCATGACACCTAACTCTTCGTCTTTCATCGTTCCCGCTCTCTGTGCTCACGTGATGTTTTATTTTGTTTTATTTTTTTTCACTCTCTGAACTGAGCATACAAAATGGGAGGAAAAGAAAGGAAGAAGAAATGAACAGTAATAAGTCATCCAACAATACCTAGCAACAAGACACCGTTTTTCTTTTCTAGGGCTTTGGCTAGACGACTTACGAGGTCAACTGTCTGGTTTCCTAATTCTTCGCCAGCAAGGAAAAAAAGAACGAAAGAATGAAAGAAAGAAAGAAAGAAAGAAAGAAAGAAAGAAAGAAAAAAGGAAAAGGCAACTCTAACTGTAGAATATATTTGCTCATAAGTATAATTATAGATTTGGTATTATGATTATTGATTAATCTAATAGGTTGTGGGGTGTAACGTTACACTATATATATATATATATATATATATATATATATATATATATATATATATATATATATATATAATTTCAGCGACAACCTTTATTTTAAATATCTTTCGACAAATATGGCGGACAAAGTAAGTTTTATTAATTTTTTATTTAGTTTTTCCAGCGTCTTTATGTTTCTTTCATTTATATTTGGAGTGAAAGAATAGAAAAATTGTCAATACTGTCCATTGTCCCGAGAGCTTTTGGCCAATTCGTTAGCCATTCTCAAGGGGGATTCTGTTTCGGTGTTATTAGTTCCTTTTCTTGTGTTGCCTGTTTGAGATATATTTTTTGTGGTTTTGATCACTAGTAGGAGGGGTCTTTCCCTTTCCCCAGGGCCTTCGGGTGTTGGCACGGCTGTAATTCGAGTGAGCATCCTTCAAATTAAAAAAACAAAAAAACAAAACAAAACAAAAAAATTTCAAGTCACTCCCAATGTTAAAAAGTTTAGTTTGCTCGTAGGCGAGAGATGTTTGATGTACAGGACATTTCTTTTATCGAGATTGAGAAAAAAATGTCCTTGTTCAACCTATACACACACACACACACACACACACACACACACACACACACACACACATATATATATATATATATATATATATATATATATATATATATTTAGTCATCCACATATTTCGGTTAGCAAGGTCGTATTTACTGCCTTTAAACTTCAATCTTCCATGAAATTCTACCTTGCTAACCGAACGCTCCTCTGTAGCCAAATCGGTTAAGGCACGTCCAGCTAAATGACGGTTTCGTATAGGATACAGGTTCAAATCCATTCAGGACGGTAAATATTGTTTAATGCTGTTTATTATAAACAGACCATTTGATATCTGTATCTATAAAAAGAATGTCTAAACATAAAATGTCTTTATATATATATATATATATATATATATATATATATATATATATATATATATATATATACACGCACATATATATATAAACGAAATAATGAAAGAACAATCGAAAGAAAAAAACGATCAGGTAAAAGAGCGAATGAAAGTTAAATGAATCGATTGAGTGAATGAGCAAAGGAACAAATGAATAAAAATGTTGAAGGAAAGAAGCTGTAATTGGGTTTTAGCAATTTATGGATTTTAATTAGCATTAAAATTTATTAGATTTTAATGCTTCATAGTAATTTAGATGTCTAAAAAAAAACCGAATAAATTAATTTGATGTTTGCTATCAGTTTAAATATTTATTTATTTTTTTAATTTTTTTTTTAACAAATAGTTTAGGGACTTAATATAAGTTAAAAACTATATTTATTAACACATTTATAGAGAACATATTAAAAATATTTTTAATTATATCAGTTTGTTTACCCGAGCAATCGGACTTTTTTAATATTGTAAAAAATAGTTACGGTAACATCTTTATTAGTTTGAATCTAATTTATGAATGTAATTTGTAATTATTTTTATATATATATATATATATATATATATATATATATATATATATATATATATATATATATATATATATATATGCTATATATATTATGCTCTTGCTTCATTGGGGAAGATAGGGCCTCAGCAATACCTTTCCGACGGACGCGGTCCTGGGATCCTCTTCTGCTCGGCCCATGTCGTACCGGCTGCCTTCACCTCTGCGTCAAGACCTTTGCGCCAAGTATGCTTTGGTTGGCCCACTTTTCACTTCTCTTGTGGATTCCAATCATGATCTTGCTTGGTGACACCAGAATCAGCGGAGCGTGTGGCCGATCCATCTCCGTATCTGTTTCTGGATGTCCTAATGTGTGCTCAATCCAAGTCCATTTCCGCTTCTTCATGTCATTATATTTAGTACTGCTCAGTTATTGCTCGTCCTTTTCCGCTGAGTTCAAGTGCACACTGCTCAACACAGGGATTCAACTTACAAATACTATGTCACCAAATTCACGTATTAGTCTATTGTCCCTTCGAACAATTCTTCGTGGTAAGCTTGGAGCCTTAAACATAACCTGCCGGCTGATTAGTTCTGCTGCTCTCTGTCATCATTCACTGCTGCTTCTATTCGAGACTTGCTGTCATTTTTCATTCTTTCTTTCTGTATTAACGACTCCCATATTGTATGTATTTCTATACTAGGCTTACTGTTTAGATCCTCATAGCCTAGCTGATTATTTCATACGTCTAACGCATTAGATCGTTATTGCCTATTCTTGTGTTCCTTGACTTTCTTTCTTTCTTTCTTTTACTAAAACCAAACCGAGTCTCTTTTTCTCCAGCTTTTTCTCATAGGCAAAACGGAATAGACCATCATTTATCTTAGGCAATGTCAGTGTGTAACCTACATGCTAACAAAAGAACGAAGGAATAAGTCGAATTATAATTATTCTTCCTCGTTTTGTCCGTCAGTGTTCTTGTTTTATACTTACTTTCATTTATTTCCTTCCAAGGACATCGTTTAACTATTGAGGAAGCAAAGTATTTTCCGAAAGACGCCCCGAAGAAAAAGTTAGATTAATTGAAATATAATATTATGTAGAACAGATTGTGTACTTAGGATTTATTGAACACCAGATAAAATACCATTTTGGTCATTATTTATTTTTTATTTATTTATTCCGACATCTTTTGCCTTCGTTGAATATTTCCCCCCCTCGAATTTCTTTCTGTTCTCTTTCTTAATTCTTTCATTGTCAATATTTTGCATACTTTCTTTTAAGTAGGTTTCTTCATATTTTTTTTATTTTATTTCCACTCTCAATTTGTTCTTTTCCACAAATACTTTCATCTTTTATTCTTTTTCTTTTTTCTATGCTATTATTACCCTTTTTCTTTCTTTCTCCCATTCTCCCCTTGTTTGTTTGTTTGTTTGTTTCTTTCTTTCTTTCTTTCTTTCTTCCTTCCTTTCTTTCTTTCTTTCTTTTGTTCGTTGTTCATTCGTTCGTTTTTTCGGTCTCTCATTCTTTTGTACGAGCTTTTATCCATTTGCTCGTCTGTACTTTTTGCTTAGCCCTTTCATTCATTCTTTTTTTTTTTCATTATAGCATTCATTCTTTATTTCATTCATTTGTTACTTCTTTCTTTAGTTCTTTTGTTCATACATTTATTTCTTCATTCGTTCCTTATTTTGTTTGTTCTTTTTTATTCGTCCAGTCGGTATCTTGTGCTTTCCTTCGTTCGTTCGTTCATTTTTTTTTTCAACTGTCACTCATTCATATATTCGTTCGTTCTTATCGTTCGTTCGCACTTCTTTTCTTTTTTTCATCGGTTCGGCCATTCATTTCTTCATTCCTAGATTTTCGTTATTTATTACGTTCTCTTTTTTTCTCTTATTCGGTCGTCTATCGTTCATTCCTTTCTTTCCACTTTTCTTCATTCTTTCAACATGTTTTTCATTTGTTCATTCAGTCGATTGATTTATTTATCATTCATTCACCTGATCTTTTTTTCTTTCGATTGTTCTCCCATACTTTCTCTAATTCATTCGTTTCTTCCTTCTTTCTTTCTTATTTCTTTTTTTTTTTAATTTTTAATCCAATGTTTAATAATTTCTTTTTTTTTCTTTTATTTTTACTGCTCATTTTCTGTTTCAGGTTCAACGCCTTGATTCAACACTTTTGCTAATGATTTCTTTCTATCTAACTTCCTTTCCTTTTTCTTTATTCCTTTTCTTCTGTTCTTTGCCCATTCGTAGCAGTTCTTCTTGTCTCCTAACAAATTTTCATTTCTATTTCCTGTTTGTCTTGTTCTCTGGTATCGTCTGGAGCCTCGTTTTCATTTTTTTTCTTCCTACTCATGCGTGTTGCCGTTACAAATGCTTTCAATGAGTCAAACGACAGCCATTTCATTAACAATCAAATGTTTGGAGGGAAAATTAACTACCAAAATAAGAACAAATTAAAAGATAAATACACACGTGTGAAAAATAAATGGCTTAAAAAGGTAATTTCTAACAACATTGAATCCTAAAGGAAAAGAAAATCAAAGAAAACACGGGTTTCCAAAAGAAGTTGTCTTTCGTAGGAAGCGAATGTGATTAGCATGTCATGAGAAGAAAAGGGGAATTGATGCATGCGACAAAGAATGTGCATACCCAGGCAGCAATGAGGATTTTACAAGTATATCAATATAATTAAACTGAAATCATATCAGTATTCACTGAGATAATATCCTAATAATCAGACATGGTAATTAACATTCGACATCATAGTACTGAAGCAAAAACACAAATTTGCCGTGTTAGATGAAAAAAAAATCTAGATAGATAGATAGATAGATAGATATGAAGAGAATAAGATAGATAGATAGAGAAGAATAGAATAGGATGTGTAGATAGATAGATAGATAGATAGATAGATAGATAGATAGATAGATAAAAAAACTATACCGCGATAGATAGATAGATAGATAGATAGATAGATAGATAGATAGATAGATAAAAAAAAACTATACCGCGATAGATAGTTAGATATGAAGAGAATAAGATAGATAGATAGATAGATAGATAGATAGATAGATAGATAGATAGATAGATAGATAGATAGAACGGGAAATGTAGATAGATGAATAAATAGATTGATAGATATATTGATGAAAAAACTAGACTACGATAGATAGATAGATAGATAGATAGATAGATAGATAGATAGATAGATAGATAGATATTATTGAGGAAAATGATATATATCTATTTTTTAGACAACAAATCAATGTTTTGAAATGACAAAGTGAAATTAAATTACGTATGGCGCCTTTCGTCCTTAAGGACTTAATCGGATTTGAATGATATTTTCGTTGATGTAACTACACGGAGGAGAATGGTCGAGAAAAAAAACAAGAGAAACATGGCTAGATAGGTCCACACACATATGGAAAAAAAATTAAATTTGTAAGTTTTCATTTTCAGCTTCCTTGCGTCGTTCCATTAACGTTTTAGTTCAAGTCCTAAAGGATGCGTCGTCCATTAACGTTTAGATAGATAGTTCAAGTCCTAAAGGATAAAAAAAAGACGTGAAACCTAGTCTCACGTCAAAATTTTTTTCCACATCATTGAGCGCTTTCAATAATTTGACTAACAAATAATATAGATAGATAGATATATAGATATATAGATATATATATATATAGAAAAAGACTGATAGAGTTTGTCTGACGATCGCAAAGACGTTTCAGAAACCCAGTCTCACGTCAAACAGTACAACTAAATATGTTAAAGTTCCATCACTGACATTTATCCCATAAATATAGACACTGAAAACTATTTTCTTCATATATATATATATATTATATATATATATGAAATACACAGTCCGATAATATATAAATAAATGCTCTGTTTATAAATATATATATAAACAGAGCATATATATATATATATATATTTATATATATATATATATATATATATATATATATATATATACACTGCGTAACGGATTATTAATGAGGGTATAATTTTCCATTTTATCCAAAAAATACAGGCTTGAATTTTCCGAAATTCTCACAGAATAATGCCAACAGTTATATGGTTGTACCTTGTAAAAAAGTTAATTTCCGCAAAATACACAAAAACTACAGTCATTTAACTAAATTACTTAAATTATATCTGTTCCAAATTCTTAGCGAAGTGTAATTAAGACTCATGTAAACAAGAAAATAACGCTTTAATTGCTTCATATACAGATTGTTATGTATATATACAATAAGCGACATGAAATAAATAGAAATCAACAAGTACACAGAGTTGAAAAACGATAGTGGAGCTGCTTAATAAAGGATATGTGATCCTCTTCTTGAAATGATAAAGCACTGGTCCATAGAAAATGTCAATTTCAGTATTTCGTCTTATGTAATTCCACGTGATACATTTACTATTGCCTGACACATTTCCACATTACTTTTAAAATGGCGTCCATTCTCGTACACCCATCGCTTAGGAATGTCCTACAAGTTTTAGATTGGCTTTAAGTCTATGGAATTGTCCGACCAGATCATTTTCCGAGGTCCATAGAAACCTAATTGTTGCAGGAACTCCGTACTTTTATGGACTGCATGCGAGGGAGCATTATCTTACATAAATATGATGGTTCTCCAGAAGGTGATTTCTTTTTTCTTTTTTCTTTTTTTTTTTTTGCTTTTTTAACCAAAGTTCAAGGTGCTTTCTCAGGCAGGCTATATAAACATCTACAGTCATTTTAATGCAGTCATTCACTTTCCACGGACAAACCATGATACCTCCAATAATACCAAGCCAAATCATGATATCTCCCTCCACCTTGGCGTCTCAAACGTCGATGACAATGTTGTCTGTTTACGAGCCAACCTTTGCTCCAACCGTGAGAGGCATCACTGTTAGCACGAGATTAATCCGTGAACAAAATCTTCGAGAAGTCGACTTCCATGTTATCTTCTGCCTATTTTGTCAATGGAAGCGTTGTCACCTGTCTCAATAATTTCCTACCCTTTTTTTCAAAAGACAACATCGAGTAGTTCTCGACAAAGTTGTTTCTCCGCTTTTCAGGCCAGAGTTATTTACAGCTTCACATTTACTTCTCGACAGAGAACGCTGGGAAACAACTCACGAGTGACCCTTATCGACCCTCTTATGTAACTTCGTAGGGGCTGCAACAAACCTTTTTAAAGTTTTGCGATATACTCCAATCATTTTGGATATTTCTAATGTTGATTTATCTTTTGCAAGTTCAGACAATATAAGAAACTTCTCAGAAGCGGTTAAGTCACAACGGCGACCATAATTGCACGATTATAAAGTTACCTATTAATAATTTAGAAAACTGAAGTATCGTGTCATTCATGCAAATGGCTGCGGTTTGTTTGCACATGCGCAGAACCTTTAAGATTTACATCGTACGCGCATATGACTGTTGCCAATTTTCCATGAAAATGTTAAATTTCAACGTGTAGATCTTGGACAAAATGGAAAAATTGTCACCTCGTTAATAATTCGCTACACAGTGTACGTATATATATATATATATATATATATATATATATATATATATATATATATACCGTACGTACACTGTGTAGCGAATTATTAACGAGGTGACAGTTTTCCATTTTGTCGAAGATCTACACGTTGAAATTTAACAACATTTTGGTTAAAATTTTGAGGTGCTCAATGTAAATCTACAGAGCATTAATATTATAAATTAACTGATTTAAATGTGTAGCGAAAAAAATGTTGAATAAAGGTTTTTAAACGCTTTATTCTACATTCAACATCAACACTTGATAAGACACCAGAGGTGTTGAAACAAAATGGATATTTTTGTAGTGATTTTATAACATATTTTTGTTGTAATTTTCGAATAAATAATTATATTTGCTCTACTCTGTATTGGGCACTCTATTAAGAATAGTATTTGTTGGTTATTGGAATTTATTCCGTATACACCAATCCTATACTTGTATATATATATATATATATATATATATATATATATATATATGTTAATAATTCGTTACATAGTGTTTATATATGGATGAGTGGATGAGCACGTGTCCGAGTGATAGGAACGCACTCTTTCTGACTAGTATTAATATTAATTACTGTTTATTTAAATTAATTACTGAATTAGTATGAACGTTCAGCTCGTTAAATGTAATTAATACTGTTTATTTAAAAATATAGCATTTACTTGAATAAATTGTGTCTATTAACATATAAACAGAAACTTGTATTTATATATATAGTTAAATTCCCAGATCAATTCTGTGGAAGACGCAGATTAGTATAAAATGACAATATATTATTTTATACCATATATATATATATATATATATATATGTATAAAATGACACACGCACACACACACACATATATATATATATATATATATGGTATAAAATGACATATATATATAGAAAGAGAGCGAGAGATAGATAGATAGATAGATAGATAGATAGATAGATAGATGAAGGAAAAGACTAAGATAGATTCAGACAATGAGTAATAGTCAGAACATATGAAGCAATAAGTGAAAGAGTGAGTGAGATCGCCACAGAAGGAACGTGAGTTGAACATCATGTAATAAATATTCCTATAAGAAAAAGGTTGATACCAGTTTTAATCTGAACATAATATAAAAAGGATTTTGAAGGTTACTTGGCAATGATCTCGGTGTTCCTTCATGAAGCTTGGACTTGTAAGGCCCAAAATGGCGTGAGATCTAAATCAGTGCTTCTCATGTATCTAATGCGAACGACCTATCACGAAATCCAGCATTTGACAACCTTTAAGACTGATTAGTGAAGTAAATACGTCACAATTATTATTGATATACAGGATCATTATCATTAGGAAAAATTAGCTGAATGGTAATTTTTCTGTTGAACTTTCCTCCTTTGAACTTAGTCTTTAGGAATTTAAGCGCAGTACTGGATTGGCGGCTAGGTCCAAACATTTTACACTTGAATTTGCTAGATGTAGCCATAGGTACTATACTAATATAATAATAAAGTTGGTTTCCGTGCAAGACAATTCTTCTGGGCAAGAACTTTCTTACAAATTTATAAGTTTACCATTCGTCCTTCCTTTGATTATTGTTGCCACATATGGTTTGGTGTTCCTGATATGTATTTAAAGATTCTTGACAAAAACCAAAAGATGAATCTGCAATGTTATTGGTCCTGACCTGGCATTTCAGTTACTTTCCCACCGATGTAACCTAGATACCCAATGGCTTTTTCTGTAAATATTTTCATGGTAACTGTTCTGATGAGATTTCCTTTATGGTACCTTGACTTTACGAATTTAAGCGCAGTACTAAATTGGCGAAATGACTAGATCTAACCGTAGGTTCTA